GCCACCCCGATCAGTCCTCAGTACACGGAGCTTCTTGCCGCTCTCGACCTCCGCGCACGTCTTGAACTTCTTGATCGCCACCGCCGCTTCATCATTGCTCATCAGGAGTTGCAGCCACATGTAGCGACTGCAATCGTCCATGAGTAGGAGGAAGTACCGCCGACCACCGCATGTAGCAGGCGTGATCGGCCTGCAGAGGTCGCCGTGAACTAGATCGAGAGCTTCCTTCGCGCGATACTTGGCCGCCTTTGGGAAAGGTAGCCTTCTCGCTTTACGCCGAGCGGCATCACGGCTACGCCTCCGTGTTTTGATGTGGGGTAGCCCTCGGACCATCTTCCCCACCACCAAGTGCGTCGGGTGAGATGTCCGAACCGGGCATGCCACATCCACGGTTCCTCGGAGTGCCTTGCCGCTTAGTAAACCGGCACTGCTCTACCTTCGGTCGAGCGGTACAACCGATTCAGGGACCTCTTCACCTTGGCGAGAAGTCGCTGCTCCCGGTCTCTGATCCTTAGAACGCCGTCCTTGATCAGAACCTCGCTACCACGCTCATCCAGCTGACCAATGCTGATGATGCTGGAACGCAGCTGCGGGATGTAGTATACATCCGTTAGCGCTATGTGCTCCCCATTCGGCATCTCAAGATGATGGTGTCGCGCCCTTAGATAGCCACCCTTGAGCCGTCACCAAACTTCACCGTCTGCACTAACATCACCGTCGAGCTCGGAGAAGGAGTCCTTGAGCCCGTCATGTGGTTACGGCACCGAGTCCGGGATACCACCGCTACTCCTGGTCGATGCCCACATGCCCAAGATGGACTTGGGCGCGTGGTTCGTCGAGGTTGACGGTCTTCAGGGCCTTGCTAGATCCTTCCACCGTCGTCGCCTCTTCCCTCTCCACGCCCTCGGCGTGCGTGCGATTGCACGTAACGTCGCCATAAGGATAGTGGCCTCATCCTCATCATCGACTTTCGCCAGTGAGCTTGAGCCTTCTTTTCCTTCTTGGATTTGGGCACTCCGCGCCCAATGGCCCATCTTCCCGCAACACCGGCAGCGTTGAGTCGATTTGCTTCTTCTCCGAAGAAGCCCTCGCCGCGATGTTTGCCGTTGCCACCGCGACCGGAGGAGGCCGCCTTCCCGAGTTTCACCGAGCAGCCCACTCCTCTTCCGCCGCCAGGAGTTTCCCGCTGTCGCCGTTCGCTGTTGCTCGCTTCCCAGCGCTTCGTCCACCGCCAGCAGACGGCCTGCCACATCCTCGATGGTGAGGGTGGACAAGTCCAAGATCGTCTCTATGGAGAGAGCGATCTGGATGTACTTTGCCGCAAGACGGAGTGGAGGAATTTGGAGACCGCCTCTCTTCGTCGATGGTGACGCTGCGTGGCTCTTCACTTTTGCCGATGAGCGCTTGCTTGAGCGGAGGAAAAGTCCTCCACCGTTTCACCATCCTTGAACTTGAGGTTTGCATACTCCCGCTTGAAGTGGGTCGTTGCCTTCTTTGCGCGGGGTGGAACCGACGCGATCGCCACAATGGCCTCCCACGCCTCCTTAGCCGAGCTTTTCGTCCCTAACGGTTCCACAGATTGTCTTGGTGCAAAGCGATGATGATAGCCTCCAACGCCGACATGTCGTCTTCTTCCACATCGGTGCCCTTGTCAACAAAGATTCCGTGAGCCGTCGGGCTCTAAGCTTGACCTTCATGGTCACCGACCACTCTCCATAGTTAGTGCGAGTCAGCGTTGGCCAAGTGGTGCCGCTGACCTCCCCAACCGTGCAGACAACTACCTCCGGTAGTTGCTGAGCAGCTATGACAGTGCCACTGCCATCGCCCAACTCCAAACCGTCTGTCCTCGCCATCGGTTAGAATGACGACAGCGCTTGTACGGCTCTGATACCACTTGTTGGCCCACGGGATCACCGACTGACGATAGTGAACTAGTCTCCAGACCACTAGTCTCAGACTACTAGTCTCCCAGACCAGACCACTAGTCTTCTAGACCACTAGTCTTCAGACCACTAGTACCGGTTGTGTCCGTACCCACACACTACGGATCGAGCTAGAAGAAGAAGGAAGAACAGAACAAGTACGCACAATACAAGACAACAACGTTGACCGAGGCCCTGTCTGTGTGATGACAAATCTGAGCTCTCTTTACTGAGTTGCCTTGGTGCCCTATTTATACAACTCTATCTATCTAACTAAAGTACAGCGCACATGCTATAACAGTAACTAGATAAGCATACAAGGCTGACTCTGCGCCGGCCACTGCATGTGTCTACAGTGCCGCAGGTGAGCCATGCAACGCCTGCACCTACAACGGCTACTGTATTACAGCAGGGGGCAAAGTCGATGCCGCCTTCCTCTGCTGTGTTTCACACAAGGTGGCAGTAGATTAGCTAATAGATTAATCGACTTCATTTGTGCTTGGTATCTGACTGCTCAATCAACAACAGGTCCATTTCATGATTGATGCAATCTGATAAACTGGCGGTTTGGCAAGCACCCATAAAGTCATATCCAAGTGTTGCTAATGAATGCGTCTATTAGGAAAGTAGAGCATGTGCAACAACAGTAAACCTTCATCTGCAATACAACATCAGCTTTGAGTCCCAAGCAAGTTGGGTACGATAGAGATAGAACCTAACATGAGGACCACCAACTGAAAGAAACATATGGATCTATACTAGAAAAGGCAGGAAAATGTCAGCTTTGTACAACTCAGATACCAGAAGAGACATTTCTCAGGAAAAATAGCGTTGAAAAGAATTACACTCAAAATATTTGTTTTTAGGAATGTTTTGAAGCCCAAGACCAGGAGAACATCTCGTGCATTTCCGTAATCAAAAGACCCAAAACTCATCCAGCTCCTACAAAAAGAATTTTTTGTTGCCAATATTATGCCAGGTGCGCAGCTCCTAATTCATGCAAGATGTTCTTTTAAGGAATTTCTCGTGCTTAATGCTAATAAAGCCTCTTGAAATTGTTCAATCTTTGCGATGATGATGCTCATACCTTTCCTTGTGATGATGATGCTCATACCTTACCTGGATACAAGTGAGATAGATGATCAGTAATGCCCACTGCCTTGTAAAGATAAGAAGCATACTACTCGCCCACTGTCCATTTCTCATACATCCGCTGTCTGATTTTGATTGGGATTAGCTATCATTTCAAACAATCAATACAACAAATGAATAACCAAGTTCTCATATAAACAAACAATGAATTAAATATACAAATAACTAAACAGTCCACATCTTGGCTGCTGGGCACAGGCACTGTGGCTCACTTGGATCCCCCCCTCCTGAAGGCTTTCTCACAAAGATCTGGTGGAAATTCATTGTGCAAGCCAACCAGATTTACCAGAGAAAGCCTTCAAGGGAGAGAGGGACCAAGAGAGCCATGCCATTTGTCACTCTTAGCTCTAGGTTTACAGTTCAGACAACATTGGAGTTGTAGGCACAAGGGATGATTGAAAGAACTTAGTGAACATTTATATAGTGTTCAGAACCTACTATATATGCATGATGCAGTTAACACATACTATTAAACTAATCTGATCAAGACAGGCAACAACTGAGGTATAATTAAAACAATAAGGTGCTACTGCATTGTAGACAGGTAAGATAAACATAGGCTCAACCACCTAGAAAGAGACCAGATACTTTACCATAGTGGAACTATCTTTTTTAAGACAACTTTTGTCCAATGGTATCTGACTGTGCCTATCAATTGGTCCAACTCATGGTTATGTTTGATTCCCATTTGCTATTTAAACACCATCTTTCATGCTTGATCACCTAGTATCACAAGGCTACAACAAATTAACCAGCTTTGTATCAAGAGAAAGCTAAATGCTCACTTTCCTGTATATATGATGTTCACCGGTCTTTATTCATAGTCTTGACACATATGCATAAGAAAAATAATAGTACATGCCAGCAGAAGTTCTTGATAAGTTGGGTAGAGCCAACAGTTTAGCCGCATCACAAGGTTCAGTAACCTCTTTGAAGATGAGTCACAATTTTTACCCATAAAGCATGCAAGCACTTCCATAATTAATCGAATTGCGAAGGAGTGGATGTGCTGCCCTAATCCAAGTAGCATACTTGGATAGCCATATGAAATGGTTTGGTGCAAGGAACTATCTTTAGTATCTTATGAATCTCACTCGCTACACAAGAATACAACCACGAGAAATCACATAGCAGATATTCATACACAGTTGAAGATGTTCTGAACCAGGCAATTCAGTTGTCGCATCTGCATAAGTTCAACCATAGTCCAGCAGTATTCACCCACAGACAGACTAAATAAAAAATGACAAGAATCACCTATTGGACAGAGATATAGAATATAGATGTCCTAAGTGACCTTTGGTTTAAGGAGTAGCCAAATTGCTTTTCCTAAAGAAGCACTAAGCGAAAGATTTACAAAGGTGTAAATATGGATCATAGTTGGTACAACAAGTAGTTAATTGTCAATGTCAAAATCTCTAGAGGACATCTTTTGCTGCCCAGCATATCACTGATAAAGTCAATATACGATTCTTGCAGCTACCAAATAATATTTGGCAGCACAGTGACATGAAGAAGCATATGAAAAATTGAAAACACACCATTACTTGGATTTGCTTTATTATTTAATGAGCAGAAGAAGAATAGCTTGGCCAAAACCATAAAATAGTTCAGAAGGAAACAGCACAGGTTTGCCACTCTTGGCTATCTAATTCAGTTATATAATGATTTTTAACAAAACAAAGGCATAAAGATACAAATAGCAAAATTCATTTGCAAAATTCAAGGATAAATCTAAAAGCAAAAAAAGCATTTGGATAACACCACGAAGGAAGAATATGGTCGTCATTTAGTAGCATTTAAGTTTGACATTGCCACATCATTACAAACCTACTACTAGCAGACTGCAGATATACTCCTTTGAACTAGTTGGGTGTAGTTTCAATAAGATTCAGTGAATCACAATAAAACTGAGTATGGTTCTTGTCAACCTTTCCAAATTAGCTTCAGTATGTTGGATAACCCCTTCACGTTCTAATCAAATAATTGAGAAGTAATGATAACAAATTTAACAAATCATGAGATGAGAACCTAGAAGAGGTGTCCCTACAACCTGAGGTTCTGATTCTAAATAATCTCTTGGTGCAAACTGCAAAGGGATTCTACATTCTCCGACTTGTGGTTCCATAGTTCATTTGTTACACCACTTAGACTTATATAACATCTGATTCATGGAACTATCATCATCATGAGATCATCCATGCAATTCCTTCAGCTTCTCTCAATATCTCTCTTCAAAAACTACGTACCACATGTTTAAATTTTTTCACGGAAGAATGTGCTAGGCGGTGGCACCCCGCGGGCACGCACGCGTCGACGTAGAGGCTGAGCCCGCTCTGCGCCGCCCAGAGCCCGCCCACGGCGCCCGCGCAGGCGAGCCCCGCCTCGGCGACGAAGTGGGCGCCGGCCGTCGTCGTGCCCCTGGGCGCGGAGGCGGAGAGCGACGAGGCGAGGGAGGCCGCCGCCGCGGCGAGGAGGAGGAGGCGCGCGACGGCGAGCGCGTGCGCCTGGAGGTCCGAGGCCGGGAACGAGGCGGCGAGGAGGTCGGCCGCGCGGGCGAGCAGGAGGAGCGGCAGGGAGAGGAGGAGCGCGCGGAGGAGGGGAAGCGGGAGGTGGGGAGGGAGGAACGGGAGCGGGAGCAGCGGAGGGAGGAGGAGGAGCGGCAGCAGGGGCGTGGAGGCGAGCGGGAGGAAGGCGAAGGGGAGCGCGAGGAGCGGCGGGAGGAGGCAGATGAGCGGGTGGCGGAGCAGACGGATGAGGCGGTAGTGGAGGGAGGAGGGCGAGAGGTAGGAGACGGCGGCGACGACGAGGTGGGAGAGGGAGGCGGCGAGGAGGGAGAAAGAGAGGGCGAGGTGGCACGCGAGCAGCAGCGCCTCCGCCATTGGGGTCAGGTCAGTTGGAGCACGGCCGGGGTTCCGAGGAGGAGGAGCGGTCGATGCCGGAGTTTTGGGGGCAGGGGAGCAGGAAACAGGGCGGCGAGAAATGCGGCGGGGCGAAGGAGCGAGAGCGCGGCCAGCCGTGCCCGCGAGGAGGATGGAGAGGGGCACCGGTTGCCGCCGGTATTCGGTCGTCCCGGCATGGACCCGGTTTTCTCCGGAAGCACACACCAACATGAACTTGCAAGTTTGCGTGAACGAACGGGTCTCAAATTCTCATCTACAGGCTGCCAGAGTGGATCTACAATTTGTAAAGCATTAACAGTATTGCTGCCAAAGCATTGGAGTACAAAGCTATTCAAACAAATTAAAAAACGTTTATGCCCTGTTTGGATCAAACTATTTGGCTTAGAATTTAATATTTTCCACCACTTTTCAAATCTTAATGACATACCTACATTAAATTCAAAGGGTAAAAAATGGAAAGAGAGATAGTAAGAAATGGAAACAGAGATTTATCGCCATCTCCGTAGCCTGATCGCCTACGCTCGTCTCTCGCGAGTCTAGACACACAAAAAAAACTCATTGTGGGGACCCTCCCCCCTACGGCTGTTAAGCTCTCTCACCGAGGACAACACTTCAATTAAGATCTAAAATGTAATGTGATTCTTGAAATAACATTCAATTCCACGAAAACATATATGCTTCGTTTGGATGTAGATATTGGAGGGCTTGGAATTGAATTGGGTTGAATACCAAATCAGACTAGTTTTGGAAATGGATACAATACCAAAGATATTGTTTGAATGCAGATGAAATTGCTAGATAGAATTCAACTGAGTGGCAAATACCAATTCATGTTTGGATATCCATATCATCAAATTGAAATTGACAAACAACATCTCATCCCCTCTGGCGTCCGTGGAGCGTAGCCCAATGAGAGGAAGGAAGGTGGAGCGAGGCGGCAAAGGCCGGCCACTCTTTCATGGAGACAAGGAGGACCAAGGCGGCTTTTGTCGAAGGAGGGAGGTGGGGAGAGACGCAACGGAGGACGGCGAGCGGAGGCAGGGAGGGCGGCGGCGTCCCCAATGAGGCTTGAGGGCGGGCCGCCCACGCTTAATTCCGGCGAGCAGGCAGGCGGGCGGAGATGAAAAACAATTCCCTTGGCCCAGCGTCCGGGAGGCGGCTAAACTTTCAAAGGCGATTAATGAACAGCATCGATGGATGGAGGCAGGAGGTGTGGTGGCGCCAATTCATCGGCGAGGCAGGAGGGGGCGGCACGGGCGATGGAGGGCAGAAATTGGCGACACCATGCGATGGAGGTGAGGGATGCGCGCCGTTGCGCGAGGCGGGGGGCGGAGCGACACGCACGCCACGACAATGGAGGCAGGAGGGAGGGCGGCCCGGCCAGCGATGGAGGGAGGCAGGGGCGGCGCGCCCGCCAAATGAGGGAGGCAGGGAGCGACGGCGACGCGAGGAGGGCAGGGAGCGGCGGCGCAGCTTCTCATGTCGAAGATGAAGGGGGTGAGAGAGAGACACGGGGGACGGGGGCGACACGATTCCAGCGAATACGGAGGGGCTCGGCTCGGTATCAAGGGTGAAGGGGTGAGAGCGAGACCAATACCGGTTGGTATTGAGTTTCATTTCCAATTCCAAATTCCATGACATCCAAACAGCGGCATAGGGGTTTTCTTGAATCACCTAGATTAGTCATTGGTCCCAACTCAAACTTACTTGAAAAGTTTAGCCAACTAAAGTTTGATCCTAGATTAGTCATTAGTCCCAACTCAAATTTACGTGAAAAGTTTAGCTAGCTAAAGTTTGGTCCTATGTTTTGAGTACATAAACTATTGAAAAGGAGTAAAGGAGTAAATTGGACTGAACCAAAATAGTAGTCCACCTTTTAATTTATCCGTTTAAATGGCCTACGACAAAACTTTAGATGATTAAAGTTTAGTATACATTGATCCAAACAGATCCTTAGGCATGCTTTGCAATGAATTTCATTTGCACCATTTTGTACATTTGGACAGAAAGTGTTGCTTAAATGAAGACCAAGACCCCACGTTTTGATTTCGCATCGGATATTCAGACTTACTCCCTCGGTTACAAATTATAAGTCATTCCAAAATTATAGAAAGTCAAAGCGTCTCAGGTTTGACCAAAATTATATAGAGAATTACAAAAATTTACGACATCAAATAGGTATACTATAAAAATATATTTAATGAAGAATCTAATCATACTTCATTGGTATCATAAATGTTATTATTTTATTATATAAATTTGGTAAAAATTGAGATGCTTTGGCTCTTTAAGAAAGTTGAAATGACTTATAATCTAGGATGGAGTATTTTCAATTCACATATTCGTGAACTTACCAAGCAGAATGTTTCTTCTAACAGATCAGAGTGGTTTTCCTGAGATATTATTACTTTTTTTTGTCTTCGGGTAAACTATGCTAAGCTTCAAATGTTAAAGCACAAATCTTAAACTATTACACAACTTAGTTGTACAAAACCAACATATCAAGTTCACAAAACTACTTCGACCTAATGAGTAATAATTGACATGCACCGTAGAACTACTTTGGCGCTTGTTACCACAAAGCTACAATTTTCTTGCCAAAAAATACCAACTATTTAGGCACTGGGTTCTGTGATACCAAGTGCCAAAATAGTTGAAGTTTTGTGATACGTATCAAAATAATTATAGATCTTCGTTATTATATAACAAAAATACTCATAGTTCCGTGAATTTTTGTCAACTAATATGATCATTGTCAGTCCGTCACAATCTGTTTGAATAGGCATTTACAACAAATATTAACTCACAGACCAATTGGCCCCAAATTTCCTAATGCTTTTTTGTCAAACAAATGGTGTATGGTTAACGCCATCCCTAGTTCCCTACCTACCATTTTATCGAGCAATATTTCGATAGTTCATGTCAAAAATCCTAGAAGAATTTTGAATGTATCTATTGTCAGGTATATCTGAACTAGTTCTCTGAGCTTCCTGATTTTATGTTTCATACTTGCATTGCACCTGAATTTAGCGGTTATGTATTAGGCAATCCATCCCATTGCTGTCAGCGAATGTAGAAAACTGCAATATGTGGCTTTGTGTTGAGCATTCTCCTGAAAAATTTGGCAGGATGACGTCACATAAAGAAGATAATGTGAAGGATTTATTGAAGAACTGCAAAAATGGGAACTTTGGGGCTCAAGAGAATACCAGTTTGTGTATAGGACTAAAGTATGCTCCTTATGTTGACAATTTTGACAGACCTTTTCATCAATCAATAGTTTGTATGGGCTTGCTTTGGCCTGCCAGAGCCTGTGACTGCCAATACCAACATAATGAAGAGCCATCCATCGCAGATGAATCAAATAGCCAAGACTGCTTTCTCGGATAGACCATTCTCTTCAAGAATGGATATATTGTCCGCTTTCATGGTGGCGGCACAAGCCTTCAGTTCATATGAAATAATAACAATAATCTAGTACTTCACAAGGGCTGGTATTACAGTATAGCAGTCTGATAAGCAATGGAAAAGCCAGTTCAAAAGTAGGGTATCTGGCAAACTCACGAGGAGTTCAGCCTGTAGAAAAGAGTAAAATTGTCAAAAAGCAGACACATATGGAAACATTTTTTTCTCGAATGATGCATGAGAGACGTGTGTCATTTCATTAAGGAGATAAGATAAAATATTTTAAAATGGTATAAACCAGAAAAGGTGAATTCAAGTTCGTCCACATACACCTATGAATGGAACTTATGTAGATGCCAAGATGCATGATAGCAAGGAAAATTATAATCAGTAACACCAGATATCATTAGTAATAAAACTGTGCATGATAGCATGAATGATTGATTGGTGCTTTGGCACAACACAACCACCCAGGAGCCTGCCCCACTGATCTTTAGAGGTATTAAGGCTTTGTAAAACAAAGAACTAGTGATTTGTTCAAAAAGAAAAAAAAAAGAACTAGCCTGTACCACAACTCAATATAGGTCAGTCAGATGAACATCACTTGGATGCTGGAACAGTGGATGCTTCCAGGCACATGGTTTATGGTTAACAGAAGGATGAGCACTAAGCCACTAAACGACTAGCCACTGGGCTGTGCATCAACACTAAAGATCACATTAATTTATGCTATACAGATAATTGACAAGGTCATATACTTTAAGAATATTGTTTGATTGGATTTTGGGCATAAAACCTACAGATCCCAAATTTAATCCCATCCATCACAACTAAAATACTGTTTTGCTTATAGTATCAAAATCATGACTGGGACTGATTTTCCTCAGTTTCATCTGCTCCAGGAAATTGCATACTGGGGCACATGGACCCTTACCTTAATTTCCTTTCCAGCAAATGATAGAGAATTCCGATGTGTTTCAGAAGCCATTGCTTCTGTCATGAGCCTAAATACCTTCTTGTTCATGTTTGTTTTCATGAATATCATCTTGCCAGATGGATATATCCGACTGATACCAAGATCTGCAGCCATCTATCTTACATAGAGCTTTTTCAGTAGTAACTGCAAGAGAAAGTAAATAACACAACAAAATAAGCCACTAAACTGAAATCATGAGCCCTGATCATAGCATAAAGAAGCACCTCCATATCACGGGGCTCCTTTCCGTATCGTCGGCGAAGGTCTTCTGTAAACTGTATCAAGGTCCATAGGTCTTTCTCTGCAGCTTTTGCCGCTTCATTGAGCAACTCAACAGGATTTTCCAGATAACTTATGTATTCAGAGGAGAGACGTGGAGAAATGTCTATATCCAGCTGCCCCAAGAAAAGATTCACTCAAACAATGCTCGTACAAAATTGCAAAATATCATTATGTAATGCTTGCATAAGAAAGCTATGCAACTCAAATTGAGAAGTATTTTCAGGTTCACCTGAACATCTTTGTATGGAACGGGAACAAGGCAAAACTGATCAACCTGAAATAGTGAGTAATCCTGTCAGAATTATCATGGGCAATG